GGTTGAGGGGCCTCGCGCTAAAATCTGCCGCGGGCCTCGCGCGACGTTAATCCGGCCCTGAATCGCGATGTAAAACTTACTGTCGTTTAATGTTTCGTAGGAAGTCGTCGCTGTTTGAAGCTCAATTTGATCTCTCTGGTTATATTGAAACAAAATCAAACGCAACGATAAAAGTATGTACTGTACTGTCTGTATACTATCCCATTCAGGTATCAACTGCGCCACTTATGTAAATTATTACCAGGACACCATGGGTTAATGTTATTTGTATTTTTAATTATTAGTTTTTGTCTCATCCATGTAAAGAACACATGAAACTGCAAGCTGTTGTACTGAAAGTTGAACGGTGCAAGCCAATTTCATCTATACAAGAGGAGCAGGTGCGCGCTAATGTGACCGTTTTACTTTTGGATACAAATTGTGACTCAGCCGTAAATGTATTTTCATTTACAACAAAATTCTTAAATACGATGGCAATCTCGTTACTTTGACGGAAACATTTGTTGCATAATAATGGTCAGTTACAGTCCGTAATTGTTTCCAAATACCGCCGGAACTACCATCGAACGAAACAGTAACTGCTTAGCCTTAGAATTCCAATGTTTTTTCCATAATTGTATGCAGGCACGTACGATGAACATTAAAGTAATACATGAAAAAAGCTCATTGGAATTCTGTTGTTTGTTGAAAGTACTCAAAGTAGTAGTATATATATAGTACTCCTTTTTGCCTTTGAGCATCAAAAACAATAACATAACCGCCATTACCATTATTGTTCATCTTTCATACTGTTATTAATTCAGTCAGGAGGTCCCGTTAATCTGTCAAGTGTTAGACGTTATCTTGGTTCAATGGGCAGACCACTTAATAGTGATGCACAAAAGATGTTACAGTCCATAGAAAACTATCAACAGGTATTCTACTGTATGTAGCCGAGGTTTTAGATTACCCTTTGATTAATATCGTTCAGACACCTGCGGATACAACTACCCGATATATTTACTGGTAAGCATGGAGATCTTAAGACTTTGGCTACAAACTTCCTGATGCTAGTGCCTAGTGGGTAATTCCATGGTAGTGATGACATTTTTGGAAGAAAAAAATTGTCAAGAATTTTCAGAAGCTATTGGAAACAATTCTGAACTGAAATATAAAGTTGTACTTTATATGTAACATGAGTGACGTAACAGGAGTCACGTGTATTTTGTAGCAATCTTTACTATTGTAATCCAAAATATAAAATTTCTTTGTGTTGGTAGTTTGCCTAACATATAGTCTGTTACTTGACAGACATTGTATGTTTCTCCTTCCTAAGGTTCCCGGAGAAATTCAAAATAGTTAGGTTGTTGTTACCTCATGTCACTTTGTCGTAACAATGTAACATGAGTCACATACCAATTTACGGCCACCAATCTTATCATATGTTATAATCAAATGTTTAATTTTTACTGTGAATCAGTAGCTTACCATTATTTATATAAAATGTGACAGAAAAAATGTATTAGTTAGTACACCAGATCAAAATTACTCTGATAATTTGGTTCAGAATGTAACACGAGTCACCATGGAATTACCCTACTAGTGTTTTTCAGGTTAGCCGTGTATCTCGCTGTCTTGTTATCGTCGAAACCTACAGTGGCACGGACCGTTCGAGTTAATATCGTTCAGTCTCCTTCCTGGTTCTTTGCCATAATCTAGTATGCCATAAAGGCTTTGACTGGTCTTGTACGGTATTCGGCAGCACAGAAAACCGAGCTCAACCTGACAAACAGTTTGCCGATGGTGGTTTAATATATGCAGGGAAGCGATAAAGCGTATTTACATAGGTCATAGCAGACAGAAATGCGTGTATGCACATCTTGTCAGGTTTACATCGTTTACAAATTGAATTTCATTCAAAATGTTACAAGGTGCCTATGATGGATAAAAACTCCAGACCTTTCTCAGACCTTTACCTGGTTATTCTCTAGGTTTATTGGACATTGAAAGTTTGCAAACTTGTTTATAATTCTATTTATAATTCTATTTGAAAATAATAATGAACTCTGAGAAAACGAAATGATCCACAATATTTCTTTATCCTTTTTAGAGTCCAGCTTTCAAAGCGCAGCAGATGCTGTCTTCTCAGGCAGCGCTTTTACAAAACATTGCACAAAGCAGAGGAACTGAAGCATCTAGAGACAGTCAGATATCGCGGCAAGAGGAGAAAGGTATTAGATGAATGATAAAACTTACAGTATAAGATGCAAGTGCAGGACTCGCTAAACCTGGAGCTTCTGAACCTGACCATAACCCTATCCCTACCACACCCTATCAGGGTCAGGGTGTGTTTTCACTGCATTCCCCCTGTCGTTGTTAAGTGTCTTGCAGTTATATGTATGACTAAACTTTTTTGTATAGTGGTTTCGAACGAAGAACGCCATCGTGCTCGCCAGCCAGAGGAAGACAAATCATTCATGAACATGCTTTCACAACTGGGTTTAAAAGATAAACCAATCGGTGACCAAAAATCGTCGGCGACTGATACATCGTCGAGCCCACAAGCACGTTGGGCAGCGTACCTACAATCACGAATACGCGCAAGTAAAAGCACGTCACCGCAATCACCCGAGATACCGAGGTCAATGTCATTTGATGGATATTCAGGAGTTAACGAGGATATGCGGAGTAAAAGAACCAGACAACGACCCCTTTCAGTTGGCTGTGTCGGTGAAGGAGGACTGGATCGGGGTTTTAATCCTGAACAACTTCGAAGGAAATGGTTGGAAGAAGGGAGTCACAGTCAAAGGTGAGCTAGCCCGCGTGCAGGCCCAAGGGAAAAATACTTTTCCCTTGGGCTTGCACGCGGGCTAAAGGTGAGCTGGACGGCTAGCCCCATTTGAACTCCTTGATTTTGTCTGCCCGCACAGTTTAAATGCTAGCAGACAAGCTGATCCAGCAGACAGGCTGATCAGGTATTAAAGTTCAAATAACCGCAATCCCCAATATAAGCCACCGCTGAATTAAAAACATTCTTTCAACAGGTGTGGGACTTGCGGATGTCCCGGATGTATCTCCGTCTTCAACTCAATATCGACGAATATTTTTGCTGCGGAAAAAAGAATACTGGAAAAAACGGACGAGAAATTCGCGCAACTGCGGGACGATATGAACTCGAAATTTCAATTACTTTATCAACTGCTAGACAGAAAACAAGTCATAAACGATGAGGAAGACTAATGTGTATTACAGCATTATGTAAATTTGTATTTTTGTAATAAATTAATTATTATTGAAAAAGATCGTGTATTCATGTTTTGTACAGAATGAGTGATAAAAATATTCGCAGGCTGGGTATTAGTCTCTTTGACATAGAAGAGGGCCCCCTATACCTCTTCACAATATGCTTTCACGTAAAAATATTTTTCCTTTTCACGAGTCACGGATTAAGAAAATCATCGATCACGTTTCACGGCTAAGTAAAATAAGCCCTTCACGCTTCACGCAAAACGTATAGGGGGCCCGATCACGTTTCACGACTAAGTGAAATAAGCCCTTCACGCTTCACGCAAAAAGTATAGGCGGCCCTCATAGAATGGCCATCCGCCTTGGACTTTTTGTTTAGAAAGACAATTCTATACTATAGTGTGTATATATTGCCCTAGATGAGATCTGAGCTGAATAGGCTTTTGCATCAGTTGGTTAGGTGACCTTAAAAATGAGCCTTAAAATCCCTTAAAATGAGCAGCTGTGTCAAAATGAACCCCGGTAATGAAACGAACACCTCAATACTGACAAAGATGCATTCAATTTGAGATTGAACATTTTCTTAGGATTTTTAGCATTATTGAGGTGCTCCTTTCTTTTCTAGGCTTCATTTGATGCAGCTGCTCGTTTTAAAAAAGATGAAGGTCTATGACGACGCTGGAGCTCAACCTGATCGAAGGAGTACTAAAGGCGCTTTTGGCTTCCACTCTCTCGTCATGTTTTCAATCCGTAGCGATAATCGAACCCACGACATCAAAGCGAGGATCGGGCCCACAATCTCGAAGGTAAACAGTGAGGCGGTTGGGCGACCGAATCTGATTATTATCATATATTCTCATATAAATAAACTAATTCGCAAACTCCTTCAGTGCAACTAAGCATATACTCCGCCGACCAAGAGTATGTTTAGTAATGCATGAAATCATATTTTAAAAAAATTAGTTGAGATCAAGGAGACTGACTTTAATACATCACATTTGGCTTGCTTAGATTCGTGGTCGTTCTATGATATCATTGATATAAAATTTGGAATTGTGCCCTGAAATTGTTTTCAAGATCCTTACAATGGAGATACTATATTACTATATGGACCGATCAGTCTAGTTGGAAATAGTATGGAAATCCAATTTTCATAATCATACATAATTGCAATTACCATACCATGTTCTATGGATATAATATGGAAATATATAATGTACACATACATTGGATCCAAATATTATTTCCATAGACATAGTATGCAGTTCACTTTTTCCCAGTATCTCACTTCGGTGGATTTGGCCATATATGCAGAGTCCTTGAGTATACAAAAGTCAAGCAAGCAATCCTTAATTCCTTATTTTTCATTTTTCTATTAAGAGATATCAACCTCCTGCTATGCATGCAGTTTTACGAGATTTGCGAAGCCAAAATATTTTCTATTAACACAAACAGTCAGCAGGGGCACATTCCACTCCGCCTCCAAATAAACTAGCAAAATTAACGATTCAAGAAAGAAAAATTGAAGAAAAATTTTGGATACCAATCTCCAAAAGTCTGGATCTTCATCAGCGCAAACAATGTCGTTTTCGTTTCATATTTTCGTTGCGGTCGTAACTATATCAGACAAAGAAAACGTCGGCATTTCGAAAGAAGATCCTTAATTTGTTCTCTACTAACTTCCAGACTAAAAGCCTTCGCTCCATCACTTCAGTAATTTCCACTAAAATTACGAAGATAAACTTCAAATGAAAAACTACCTTTCCCTTCTTGGATTTGGGTTGATTGAATACTTCCCCGACACCGGAACTCCATGTTTGAGCTATTAAACGTTAAAACTAAGAACGGGATTAAGTTTGGTTCTTTTAATAATTTAATCTATTCCCCGCTTTGGAGTTTTTTTGGGGGGACTCAGAAAACCTATCGCCTATCGGTTTGATATAATCCGATCAAAGTATAAGTTTTGCTACGTTTAATTAACGGTGTCCCGCACTAGCGGTGGGCGATCATTGGATACTGTTTTGGAAAACACTGCTTAAGAGTAGAGTTAAGTGCATATGGCAATATAAATATATGATTTCATTTTGTGTAAAATACCAGGTCCACTCACCATTTCGCAAGGATTTAGATCTTATTATTGCTATTACATTAACTGGGCTTAAAGATCGAAAATCTTAGAAAAAACAAAAAATACGGCATTTAATTGATATATGTTATACAAGCATGTATAAAACAGAAAATTGAATGCAATGCGGGTAGATATCACATGCAAACACAACGGCGGAAAAATATCCTGCGTACGACAGCTAGAGCCTAGGCTGACTCACCACAAACTCTAATTGAAAGACTACTTAGTTTTCTTTTCTTTGAGAAAAGAGGACTACTAAATCTTCTGTTCTCAAATGAAGGACAAACCGAAGATTAATGATAGAGAACACGTGAAAATCGGCATTAAATATAAAACCATCGGAACTTCGCGTTCCAGGTCTTATGAGCACAGTGCATCACAGTTTAATTTCGATAACTCAATTTGACGTTTCTGACAAGTTTAGATTTGTATCCAAATTGTTGAAACTTAAAGTTTTCAGTAACCAAACTGTAAACAAAAAGAGTGTAAAATTGATGAATCCTATTTTCAGTAATGGGATTTCTGCAGCTGATATTATTATATGCATAGGATAGGTAATAGCGACTTTTCAATCCATTTAGGGTAATATAAATAAGGTGTAATATAAATGGCAATTAAAACAACGGAATAGGAGAACAAATTAAAGTTATCAGTTGAACGAATTCATTTTGGGAATGTGCAAATTAAAAGAGTTTAATAAAAAATCTCATCTGTACTGTGGCAAAAGCTTCTTCCACAGTGACGTATCCAAACTATAACATAGCTATATTAGTAATTTACCCAAATATGGGGAATAAAACCCGATTATAGCAAAGATTACCAAGTATATAGATTAAAACCTGTAACCCCTGTCTTGTTTAACGCAAATGTTGAACGGGTTTACTCTAATGAAGTACAGGAGTCGGGTCACTGGCCACTTTTCAGAATGGTCAACGCAATCACAAAGTGTAGCATATAATTATGCAACGTGCAATCTCACTTTGTAATTAAAGTACAGAATATGTAACAAATATATAGCATGAAATTAACAGAGCTGTATTCGGATACAAATGAACACAAAATGAACACAAAATGTTTGGACGTCGCTCCGATTTGACCAGAAAATTTGGATGATATTGGAAGGCGGAACATTTTCCGACCAGATGTTCTTCCATTAAAGGCCGTTTTCCACTAGGCGGAATTTTGCGCGCGGAGCGGAATTTTTCTTTGTCTTGTGATTTCTCGGGTGGAACTAATTAGAAAAAACAAACTTACGCTCCGCGCGGAAAATTCCGCCTAGTGGAAAGCGGCCTCAATACAGAGACAGAAATTCTGGTCTAACTACATGGTCTGGCCAAATTTCTTTCTGCCCGCGCATAATCTTCTCCCTGCCGAACGCCTATGGTTGAAACCAAGGGGAAAACGTAAAGAACAGAAAGTGAACTATTTGGCAATCTAGGTTATTTACGCGGGATAATTTCCAGCTGTTGTTTTTGTTCTGAACACAATTGCTTTTACCCACGGTCAAAAATGTTCGACATTTAAATAGACCTACGCTCCAAATGACATCCATTTCCACACATGCAGCTTGTTAACTTATTTTCAAAACGGTTGCGAATGCTTATCATCCTTAATTATATAAGACAATGAAACACATTTGCAATTTGATGCGGCGTGCTATAAACTTAAATCATCTAAAAAGACTAAATGGCCTGGCCTTCCTTGGAGGAAACAATAAAAGCTTGATTATGCGGCAATATAGCAATTTCTATCATGCTGAACAACGTATCAAAAATTGAAGTGAATTAGGCGGCAATATCCCATGCGGTCTAAACGTGTTCAAAATTGATAGCAATTTCAAGATGATATCCTTTTTGGTGAAATGCCGCCTTCACCGCATGTATGTTCAACAAAATCTACATTGAATGATTGCTGGACTTCATACGATTTCACTGAAAATCCATTTACTTCACTCAACTGAACATTCAAGTGCTGATACATATAGCAAATGTGTCATGTATAAGCTGAACGGGTCCTGAGATTCTTGTTGAGTAAAAAGTTCTGTGAAGCTTATATTTGTTGTTTTTTTCCCATTTCACCTGCCTTAATTAAAATGAATTGCCATTGCCAATTAAAGATAATGCTTTTATATATAAGGGGTGGTTTTTCGCAAATAAATGATATTGAGACTTGGCGCAGTGGAGCTCAACACTCTTACATTTGCAAGTGAAGAACTTTTAAAGGTAAATCCGTAACCTGTAGCTAACTATTGTATATTCTTCATTTTAACCAAAAACCTATATCTGTATATATTAAGCTTACCAGCTAGATCTTTTTTAAATAAATTTGTCTCAATAAAACAACCAAACTATTTTCTTTTTCTTTTGCAGTTTATATTCATTATTGAGACATGTATTTAAGCGTAACATTTGTACTTCTCATTGCTGGAACAAGTCTGGTACAGGTTAATGGTAAGTTTCCTGCAAGAATCGTGCTAGAATATTTCTCACGGAAATAAATACTTGATATGAAACTGGACATAACAGGGTTGAACTTCGTAGCGGTAGTTGAAACCCAATTGAACGTCTTTATAAATTCGAATATAGGTCTTTATGATCTTTCAAAAGTCTTTGAATTTAAACGAAAAAGGGAAGAAAAGGCTTTAACTTCTTTAATATTTGATTTATACGATACCCTGGCTAATAAATTAGATCGATTGCCGAAAGATTTTCCTATAATATCGAATTAAGAAAAGGCGCATTTTACGATTGACGGGTCTATATATATATAATTACTGGTGAAAATGGCTCTTGCAATCGAAATTTTTCAACAGCTGATTGCTCTCAAAGTTCTCCAAAGAAAAAGTCATTGAAAGTCTTTAAATTTTTTTACCTTTGTGACTACGAATCTGCATAACGTTTAGACGTTTTTGAAGGGGATTAAAGAAACTTAGTGCTTAGCTCAGTATAGGCTAAACATTTCGTTGATAAAAGAGAACAATTTGGATAAAACGGATTTAAGTTCGTAAGGTGCATGGAACGTTGTCATGAAAGTTTGATTTGTGGTCGTTCTATATGTGTAGCAGTTCTATATGTGTCAGTTGTGTATATATAGCGTTCACTGGTTTCAAAATGTATTTCTGCTCTAGTGGATTTGTCCTGGGATTTGGCTACATATATATCGGAGAAGCCCTTGATCTTCTTTTTGAGCATTGCGCACTTATATATACAAAAGTCAAGCTTGAAACCCTTAATTTGTTATTTTTAGTTTTCTTTTAAGTCATATCAACCTCCTGCGATGCATGTAGTTTTATGAGATTGCTAATATTTCTTATTAACACAAACAGACGTACACTCAGTCAGCATGAAGGGGCATATCATTCTACCAAATCACTCAAATATTATATGTCATATTGGAATATTTTAAACTTGAAATTTTCAAGTTTGTGTATGGAGTGTATACGCAGAAGGGATGCACAAACGGCCACACTACTCCTTTATAAGTTTACTTCACATGATGGAAACCTAACCCATTTTTGTGAGTTTGCTGTCTTTGTGTGCTCGTTTAGTTTTCCCCACTTCTTTCTCGCTTTTAAGGCCGCGTTTGCCATCAACGTTCGCTTTGCCCGCGCGGGCGAAGCGTTCATTGTTTTTGAAGCCCGTCACGCCCGCGTGAGCAGATTTTCAAAGCCCGCTCCGCCCGCGCAGGCAAAGCGACTGCAATGGAAAATTGCCTAAAGTTACCCATTCAAATCTCGATTCAAAGTCGCTTTTAGTTACCGATTCAAATGTCATCATGTATATAACGCTTAATAATGGATTAATGGTACTTAATTAATTGCGCGCTTATATTTTAGGTAACTGGTTAAGAGAACGGAAACGCAGCCTACCCAATGAGGTCACCTTGAATGGGGTTGTCAAGAAGTGTGGAATAGAGCTGCAGGAAGCCGAGAAGTGCAGCTGCCGAGCCCTGATTTGTGATGGTCAGCAGGCATGTGAACACGCAACAGGGATTATGGGCGGCTTCCGGTACGTGATTAATTGTAAGCTGACGAAACCCTGGGACCAAATCGACACACAAGCTGCAACCTTTGGAGGGCCTGCGGACGATTGTACCTGCATGGGTAGAGCGATACTCGCATGACTAGACGCGTGGACTAAGTTCTAGTTTACGGTTTGACTCGTTTATCTAAGTTATATATCGACTGAGGAATATAAATGAAATATAGCAAATATATAAAATTACAGAAACTGAGATAATATAATACGGAGATACTCGATGTATATTAAATTAATGATGAAGAAAATGTTAATAAAAATTCAATATTTATTTCACCGTGAATTTGTGGTTGCTTACAATATGATTGGCAAAGGAGTAAAATATAAAGCAAAAGTTTAGGATTTTCCTCGAAAGAACATATTAAACCCAGTCCCCATTTTACTCATTCAGAATCTTCTATATGGGATTTGGCAACAGTGGGTAGGTGACAGGAATTCAGCCAAAAATATATGGCTGGGAATTTATGAGATTGAAAACTCTTTTACGACACTAAAAAACGTATGGTGCATGCATTTTTATCAAATTCCTTATAAATGGCTGGATATTTTCTAAAGTTAACAAGAAGGGCCAAAATCGCTTTATTTAATCCTGTGGTGAAAATGACGTAATCTCACAATAAAATTATGACGTCATATGACGTCATATCCTTGACAGTCAATTGCATATAAATTTCTGACCGACAATAATTAAACTATATTAATACAAGTCAATATTATTCGTTTATTCATGGCTCATGCATTTTCTTATTGACGTTTTAAATCGTCTTACATAGGCGAAAGTAAACAATTTAAAGTGTTAATATTATAATATATATACCTCCTACATTTCAGTGTCAGTAATACCTCCTATTTTATTAACTGTGGTAATACGTACAGTATATCACTATATCTCATGCACGTTTATTGGACTGATCGTTTTCAGCACACGCTCTACCCCCTACTGCCTGGTTCATCTCGAAAAGGTAGATTTCCTAAAAAGTAACCGCATACCATAACTTAAGTTTTCGGTTTACGGCCTTCCGTTCCGCATATATTTAATCAAGAGTTCAGCCAATATTGAAATTGAACTGAAATTCTTCAAACACTACAATTGAAATTTGAAAGTCTGATGTGTGTCAGACAGTCGAATTTTGCTCAACTCCCCATGCTCAACTTGTGGTAGATTATACGAAGATTATCAAATTTTATACTGATAAATGTAACAGTTTAAACTAATAGTGGTTTATGCTGAAGATATCGTCAAATAATGGCTTTCCATCAAGCGAATTCCACTTGGAGCGAACAAACAATTATGAATCAATGTCTCGTATCCTACATCGTAGAATCACCGTCTGAGACCTATATCAACATCACGATCGCTGCTTGTGTTATAAACGCCATCTTCCTCGTTCTCGGATTCACTCTCAACTTCTTGGTGGTCGTGATTTTTTCTTCCTGCCAACAACTTCGTTCTAAACTGACTTTCTTTCCAATATTGGTGCTATGCTCTGTGGATTTGGCGACAGTGGTGGTGGTTCATTCGTTATTTTTGTTACAAGCCGTTGCTGAAATACGAGAAACTCCGAAATGCTCGTACAAGGTCGCGTATTTCTCAGTGCTGTATATTTTTCCCGGAATGTCTGCGTCGACATTGCTGCTGATGAACATCGAAAGATACATATCTATTGTTCGACCACTTTGGCACTTTCGTAACGACAGGAAGAAGCAAAAATTCATGTGTGCTTGTGTGCTTTGCTGGCTCTTAATGGTGGCCAATTTAGCGTGTCGGCTGTTTAAGCCGTCGTATTCAAAAGCATTTACCATGGCTGGTGTTAGTATTGCTTGTCTTATAACGCTTTTTATTTACGTATCGATATTCTATGTCGCACGAAATCGACGGTGTTTAAGAGTCAACGAAGAAACGAACGCAAATATCGCACAAGAAACAAGCGGGAATAGAACTAACTTTCTTCACGACTTAAAGATAGCAAAAATGTATTTCCTAGTGGTGATATTATCATTTATATGTTACCTCCCAATTGGTATAGTGGTGTTTGCCACAAAGTACCCATGGCGGGAAAACGAAGCTAGACGGACGCTCTTGGCACAAGTTTATACTTGGGCTAATACGTTTCTTTCCATCAACTCCACTTTAAATTGTCTGGTATTTTTCTGGGCGAACGCAAGGTTTCGGCAAGAGGCATGGAAGCTGTGGAAACGAGTTTTTACATCAGAACAATCATCAAGCCCATCAAGCAGCACTTGACGTGTCAGCTATATTAGGAGATACTCGGATATATACTTGCTGGATATTTATGAGAAGAAAACTGCTAACATCCTCATACAGTTCTCTTCCATTTTGACCAAATTGCAACCATAACCTTAAAACATAATTCAAGACCAAATGTTGAATGATTCACGTACCACATTACTATCTCGAAATGACGTGTCGATTCAGTGGCGAAGCTGTAGCCATGGCAACTGGTCATGCTGTGCCATTGAATATCAGTGTGCTATGCTTATAAATCTGCAGCTAAATGGTTAAAGACAATACATTTCTCAGTAAAGGTTTGAGTGGTGCAAATCATTAAAAATTTGCATAGCATGACTTGTTGCTATGGCTAGATTGAGTAGATTAGGGAACGAGGTCAGAGGTTATAGCAATATGGCATTTATGAGAAAAAGAAATGGTTATATAATATCAAGAGAACTGACCTATCGGCCCCTATGCTATGTTTTGTTATGCTAAAGTTATATGTATAATGAATATTTGCGCTATATTAAAATGAACTAATCCATATCACTAGTCGCTAAATATGAGGGGGACTTTCCAAATTACTAGACAGGTTAAACTACGATGCACTGTCAAAACAAATCGGTTAAAACAACCAAGACAAGTCTGAGATAACCAATTTCTTGGTTGTTTTAACCAATTTGTTTTTACAGAGTGGTTCCGATTTACGGACAGCATCATTTTGGTCAGTAATTTTCACCATATGTGCAAACTTTTTTTGTCTTCTCACAGTCCACTGAGAAAGAACGTGTACGGTAATAATTACAAGAACATATAGACATCAATGAAAATTGCTAAACAAAATGACATATCGTATTAACCTCTATCAACATAAACCAATCTTATAGATTTATATATAGGATTAGGATAAATCTCGTTTCCAGAGCTTTCTTCAAAGAAAGCTCTGGGAACGAGGTTGGATCAGAATTAAGATTAGTGTTGGGATTGGATTAGATTTAGTTTGAATTGCGGTTCGTAATTTCGTATTACCATCCTGCCTCGCGCATTACGTCATAGTAATTCTAATATTACGTGTACCGGCCCACCGGCTTACTAATTCTAAGCCGGCCATGCATAGGCATGGTAAATATATGCCTATGCCATTTTTTTATGTTATTGAGACCTTGGCACTTTTGCTATATGGCATTTGCCTTTCCATAATTATGCCCTGTGCCATTTATTGAGACCTTTAATTTAGAAATATATTAATCATAAAGACACTTAAGCTTAGCATGACTTGTTGCTATGGCTACTCAGTTCTAGTTCAACTCTTACTGAAACTTAATTATGCAGTTGAATTGATCTGCTGCAAAGGATCTGCTGTTTAATTTTTCCCGTAACGCGGTTGGTCATTGTTTCCTATTTTTTAGTATACAGGGTGTATAAAAAAATGTACCCCCTTTCAAATTCAAATTTACTGACAAAGAAATAAGCGAAATTAAAATAAATTCAGTCTCAAAAAACACAAAACTCAAAAGCTTGCCAAAAATACTAAAACAATTATTCGCCTCAGGCTCGGCAGGATATGATGGTCTGCATGGAAACTGAACAGAAGTCTTGTGTTATGTTTCTGTATAAGTTTATGTTATTTGTGCAGTCATGGTGATTGAGTTATGCTGTTACTTTATTGATGATTTGCATTAAAAAAATTACACGTTTTGGTAACACCTGCATGCTCGCCTGCGCATTATTTTTATTGCTTGTCGACAACGTCTACACGTGCTCCTTGTATTTAAGACTTGAGTTGTAAAATTCACGTATACTATCTTCAGTAGTACTGTAATACTATAGAAAAGTGTATATAGCTACCTAAAAAGTCGTCCAGAAAAATGTTGATTTTTCTGCCTTATTTCTTTGTATTTAAGTTACAAAATTCACGTCCGATAGTTTCAGTTTGCTCGTGCACAAATTAACATAAACTCAGACAAAACAACACAATATTTAGTTCCCAGACCATCTGCTCTTAGTCAACTAGTAGAACGAGTAATTTTTCATGTATTATTATAAAAATAACACTGATTGTTTTCTAGATTCCAAAACTTATTCCCTTTCATTTATATAGAGTGATTCCAGAAAAGAGATATCTGCCCTGCCCTCAAGGAGAAAATGTCTGCCGTCCGGAGGGGGAGGGGAGAAAAATTGAATTGCTTTTGAAGGGAGGGAGGGGGTAACTTCCCATTTCCTCTGTGGGGGTATAGATGTTTTCTGGAATTACCCATTTGTACACTGTTTCATTATGTCGACCCTTACTAAAATGCCAACTGTGAAAAATAAATATAGAATGAAAACGCATGCCTCAACGCTGCGAGAAATACAAAACATAACCAGATGCCGACACGTTAAGAGCACTCCAGATAATAAATGCAAAAACGTCAATATATACATCATCTCCATAGCTTAGTCTCATAGTCCTTATCCCGGCACCTGTTAACCCACCAATAAGAAGCCACGGTTTTTTCCAACAAATAAACAAACAATGAACATTAGGCACACACATCATTTGCCCCATGTTGCATGTATGCATGGGAGTCTGAACAGTGCCAGTGTCTGCGAGGAAAAGTTTCACAATTATAAATATTCCTCGAAAGAAACTTGGATTGACAGCTAGGTGGAGAGTATTCGTCTCAAGAAAAGCAACGTACTGAAAATATTTGAAGTAATAGCAACGAGAAACCAGCTATTAGCAAATATTGGTGTTAATACGATCACGTATATACTATACACAAGTGAAAAATGACGCGTAAGTTCTTAATAACATATATTTTTTTGTACTTTTCTCTTTTTGATTGTACTATCATCTCTATTGCTGCATGCTTTATGAAAAAAGAAATTGATTTGAAGCTTTTTCTGTGTGTAAATGTAGAAAAATGGAGGCATAATAGTATTCACTGTATGAACAATACGTATAGGAAGAAATTAATCATCATAGGCGTACAAGCGCGGGAAAGAATTAGGGGGCCACATAAAAATTTGTCCGACATTGATGAAAATTGCCCGATATTATAATGAGTTTATTGATAGATGAATAGAAGGTAAATATAGAAGGGGCATGCACATCTTCCATACAGACGCGCGGACATAAAGTGAATCTTAAATTAAAACGATAAATAAAAATATAGAAGCGTTTACGAGTGTTCCTTGAATTTCATTCTTTAAGATATGTCGAAATCTCCTCACTCTACGGAGTGCAATTTGAATTTAATGAGAAAAAAATCAATTTGTCATTGAGTTTCTCTGACTAAACATCTCAACATTAATATCATGACAAAATTTTTTAGGAAGTATATCTGCCTGACTAAACACTAAATGCATCGAGGAGGGGGCTGCAGCCTCCCACCCTCCACCACTCCCTCTGTCTCATACGAAAGCACATTAACAGCTCGGTAAAGTAAAGAACAGCTGGCAGTGAAGTTGCGACATGAAGGTATTAGTTCTCCATGCAAACATAAGGCTGAGCAATTTAAAATGATCGTTCAGCTAGCTTTGTCTTCGTATATATATCTTGGTTTTCCATTTTAAAAACAAAAAATCGCACAACAAAAGTTCACCTCAAAACCACAACGAATTTCGATCAAAACCGAAAATCGCAACTTAGTCGGTTTGTCACGTATTCTTCTTAAATAACATTAAGTATATGCAGTCTGTGCTACGGATCTTACAGGCCTATTAAGTACGAGCCTGTTTCAAAACTTCCTTGACAGCAGAGTCTTATATATAGCGCTCAGTTTGGTCCCATGATTGAGACAGGTATAATTATACCTGAAGTAGGGTTATATACTTTTTCCGCCGCATGCACTTCAACGTTGAAAGTGTCACTTTCGTCCCTGTCTGGCAGCAGAAAAAAAACACTGGAAAAAACTCAATTCTGAAATTCATACTATGGAATTTGTGATTGCTTCACTAAATCCATAGTATATCCATACTATTTCTATACCGCATCCAAAGTATATGGAAATTGCAATCAGTATGAAAATTGGATTTCCATATTATTTTCAACTAAGATCCGTGCTATTTTCATGGTAAGGATTTTGAAAAAGTTCCAGTGAAAATGGCCGGATAACTGAAGACATCTTTGACCAGTGGTCAGGCTCCACCCAATTGTTTAGTCATGCAATTGGGACTTCGCACAGCTAAAGGGTTCTGCATGAGGGGCTTGTTACGCTGGGAAGTTTTATAGGCTTTTCACGGGATCCTCAATTATGGTAATGATGACTGCATGGCATGGTTTGCGTGTTTCTATACTACATGTCTGTTAATTTCAAAACTTCAGAAAATAAGACTTCTACTGATCCAGACAAGGAAAAATATCTCCATATTTATAAACAAGCTGTTGCCTTGTTGGAAAGCCGATCGCTTCTAGGAGTAAGCTAGCCGGCCTTTGAACAACCGGCCCAAAGACATTAGTTCTCCAAACATAAGCTGAGTAATTTAAACTATTTTTCACTTTGTCTTCGTACAAACCTGCATGCATGCGCGAGGCTGGAGCGCTAACCCTGTATGGGAATTAGCTTGCCCGTTTGTGTATTTCTGTACCTATTTCTGCACAGTTTATTTCACTGAAAACTTTAGCAAAAGCTGTCGATCTGGACAAGATTTTATAATAAGAAAAATATTTCCTTGTTTACAAACATGCTGGTGGGATGATTGCTTTCAAGGTTTTGTTAACTTAATATTGGACCTGCAACCGGCTTTCGGACAGGTGGTCCATGCTTCATTAACTATATAGGAACGCTAGTATATGCAAGCATAAGAAAAAGTCTGGCACGGCAAACCAAAAGCAACGAAATGCAGTGCGAAGTCTGGGATTTTCCGTGAGGGGCGTGTAAATGAGTGAACATTTACAACACATACAACACCGCAAATCGCAAAAAATTTCGATCACAACTGAAAACTACAACAGATAACCAAACCATGTTCAAGTCCTGATACCACGACAGCGAAATTCTTCGCAAGAAATCGTTTTTGTGAAATATGGATGATTGCAATTCTATTGGATTTTCCCACTTTTTTCGCAGCCAGAGTAGGACTGACGACTTTTTATCTTTACTGTACTCCATGCGATAATTCATTTCGCGCGAAATTTCTCGAATGCGGTAAGACGCCAAACCCGAAACAGAAAAACTAAAAATTGGCGAAATCCGCAAAACCTAAAATCCCAACTCTCCCTTGATCCTTAAAAAATAACGTTTTCCCTCTGTTTAAATTCACTAGCCAGCCCATCGCCAAATACCACAAATACCACAACAAGTAACCCGCGTCCATACGAAAACGTCACTATTCCAATATGGGGATTCAATTCCAGCTGTGATTGGTTTACTGCAGTCAGAGTGGATTTAACCATATCTTCCATTGCAGTATTCTACAATTTCATCATAACCATACTTCCGTTGTGTGCATCCCGTATGTACTGTATGCAGGGAGCGGTGATAAGTACCTACACATGGGCTGCATTCCTTGTTAGCCTCTACAGCGTCTTCTTTGACTCACGCCTACTGGGAAGCGGCAAGCAACAGTTGGAACACGAGGGATATATAGGTTATTTTCTTATATTGTTCCTATGTTACCACTGTATATTCCATATGCACCTTCTCTCCTGGAATCAGCATCATTCTGTGACACGTTTCAACGTCCATCGCAGGTTAGTTCGTAGCTAAATGAAAATTTTAAATATGAATTTTACACTATACGTTCATGATATTTTTGTGTGTGTTTTGATGTGATGTACTCAGGTGAATATAATGTTTTTTTATGTTACTCTGAGTGTGTATCCACACCACAGGCTGAAATAAAAGTTTGCCTGACCACGGTGGGAATCGAACCGGCGACCTTTGGAATATTAGTCCAAAGCTCTGCCAACTGAGCTACAAGTCAAGTCTGTTCGAGCGTTTGGTATTTCGGAACTAAGTCTAGTTCCTTCGATATACCAATGTGTTCTATGATCATGATATTTATCACACTATATTTCAGAAACTGCGCTGCACGTTCCAGTAAAATTTTTCACAACTGCTCCCGGTTAGGTGATAACAATCTTTATTCAGGAGGCATTCTCACAGAAGTGATTTTCAGTCCAATCATGGATAATAAAATAAATGGATAGGACTCTAGCTGACGTCACAGTCTAAACCTAGTTGCAATCTGTGACGTCACACGTATTGCAATTAAGTTCTCGGCATTTTTGTTGTTTCGCTATACTTTCCGCTTTAAAAGAGTAAATATTGAAGCATAAACTGATCTAATTGTTTTAAAAACATGCCTAAGCCACGACAAAGTATTCAAGGTAAATGTTTTTCGTCTTTGTTTTGCATTTTTTTTACATTTGTAGTTACGAAATTGGCGTCCCCAATTTTAACGAAATTTGGGATGCATTTTTCACTGTTTTAATATAGTGCTTGAAATATTTGCTAAAATTCGGACTGGGAATACTTAGATATTTCATCGTAGAATGGCGTAGTTATATTCATTTGCTCGTTGACTAAAATGTTTAGCTGTATTATTGCTAAACATGCCGTTTTTGAGAATTTGGTTTGCAACTAGGTTTCAACATCCAATCACGCCATCAGCCCATTGAAAACATTAGGTCACGTCAGCTAGTTTCCTATCCCATTTATTTTATTATCCATGCTCCAATAAATGTATAAAAATTCCACTCGAAATTCCCACCTAGAAATCCCTTAGGGGCCATTCACAAAGGATGTCCGGCCAAATGATGGATTTTCAGACCCCCCCCTCCCCCTTTGTCCGGCATTGTCCGAATTAGTGACCCCTCCCCCCGGACATCAGCCATGCCTCGCAAAAACTCACGCAACGTTGTATATGTCAAGAGTAAAAAACTTTTTTTACTTTTAGAACTTTTTTATAACTATAAATAAATGTGAATACAAAAAGATATAAATTACTAATTAAAATAAAATCTAGTATTAACCGCATAGTCAAAATGCCAATTTCACAATGGGAAGGAGCTCGAAAGCTCAAAATAGAGGAAAAAGAAATTTGTTTTTGAATTTTTCAAAATTTCGGACATCCGGATTGCTAAAAACCCCCCTCCCCCCTATGTCCGAGTTTGTCCTGATTTTCCAACCCCCCGGCTCGGACATCCTTTGTGAATGGCCCCTTAGCGATTAGTTATACCGACTGAGACGCCCAAAATCTTGATGTTTACCTTAAAACTGAACTTAAGCTACGTACACCATTATATCTGCTAGATTTATAACGCGTTCCAAACTGATCGAAGTTGAATTTGTGGTCTGGGTAATTGCCACCGTGTTTGCCCTTTTGGAAGTATTCTTTATCTACAGAACACGAAAGTATCCTGATCAGGATCACGCGGCCTACTTTCATCTCATTGTCATTCTTATCTGCTGGATGTTCTTCTGGCTTGGACCACTACTATTGATGTTGTCCTGGAATGGTATGGTGTTCAGTTTCTTACTCCAGGTTATACACAATGGTACTGTAACGAAGACACCACCTCAGGTAAGAACGATTCCATCAACTTAAACAGCACTGGTAATGTCGTGGTCACCACATTTGCCTTTCAAGATTAACATTTAAATTTATTGTATTCGCACATTTACATACTGCACACAAATACAGAACTACTACAAATACATAGAATATTACAGAATGGGAGACCCGGGTTCAATCCTTGGTCGGACATCTGCTGAAGATCTTAAATAACTCGGAGGAAAAAAGAGCTACATTAACATCAATAAATGGTTAGACTTTCGTGTCTTCTCGGATAAGGACGTTAAATCGTAGGCACCTCCTATCAATTAGGCAATAGCCTTTTAGAAAATCTAAACTAAAACTAGACTAAACTAACTTTACTTGTACAGAGTACTGAATTGTATAATTTCTAAACTGTTCTCAAAAAAGGTCATGGAAGACCTTTTGCATGAGTTTGCATAAGAAATCTATTGAAGATCCAGAGGGCGGAATATTTTCATTGATTTGAAAATCAACCGTTTTCCATCGTGCCAAGTCTTACTTTCCTCTTGTCTTAAAAACCCAACTTAATTAAAACTATATACAGCTCTGCCAGTTCCAAATATATTGTTCTCGTTAATTAGAGGTCCAGTAACAGTCATCGCTTATAGTGGCCCAGTGTTATTACAGGAGAATACTTAAATCAAACTTGCTTTATCATGATACTGCTCTAACTGTTGTATAAATGTGCGGTATGTGGTAAAGTGAAATTAGTATCAGAGAATAAGCGATTGCAGAAAGCATGCTCGCAGAGATGAGACACATGCACTGCTGTGTCACCAACGGACTTATGCCTCTGCAGACCCGATGCCATTTATACGCTATTTCATATTTGACTTTATTATATAGCATTTGTAAATTCTGAACGCTGATTGGCTAAGAGCCGTGTTGATATAACTCAATGTCAACACGGAAAGTCGGAAACGTCGGAAAATTTCTTTCTCAGTATATTTCTTTGTGCTATATTATAAAACAAATATAAAACATTTTTTCCGTATTGATATATAGTTATATCAACACTCGTGGAAATTGGGAGAAAACTCGAAATTGTGTGAAAACACTCCGCCCTTCGGGTGTCGTGTTTCCACACAATTTCTCGTTTTCCCAATTCCCACTCGTGTTGATATAATATGTATATCAACACGGAAAATGTTTTATATTTGTTAAGTATAGAACAGGTTCTTTCTATCGAAGAGGGTCCCCCAGGGATTTCTAGAGAACAAAGGATATCCTTGAGGAAAAAGGGAACATTGGTGAAATCTTTGTGGGGGTCAAGGGAGAAATGTTCAAGGACTCACGGAAACACAGATCCTCACTGGGTGAACCTCATCGAAGTTGCTTTACTGAAATGACTAAGACGTGAATAATTAACAATTCCTAATGTCGTTTAGCCTCCACTCGGAGGTGGAAAGTGCTTTTCAAGTAATTTGATTGGTTCCTCAGTTCAGGATATTCTTGCACAATTCACTTCCGGACAAAAACAAAATGGCTTCCTGTTTCGTCCCGGTTACGGACGAGCAAATTTTTGTACTAAACGAAGCTGGCGTTTAATTCGCCACAAAGTTTTGTTTTAACAGTGTATAGAGGTATTCTTTGAAGCTATTTCTAATGAATAAATTTACTAAAAGCGTGTAAATATACTGTTTTGTTTACAACCTCGTTTAAACCCATTCATATGGGAGCTGAAATACAAATTTCTGTTTTCTGGTCGTTTTTGTTTTGTTGTGGTATATGCTGGAACAATTATTCACCTCATTGTCGGTGAATAGTCATGCAAGGATTGTTAAAGCCCTGGGCAAACTAGGAAACATTGTTGCGAAACATTGTTTCCTGCCAATGTTTCGCCATGTTTCCCAGAGTGGGCAAACACTAGGAAACATTAGTGAGAAACATAGGGAAACTTCTGTTTCTGAATTTGCTAGGAAACATTTTTGCTTCTCGGGAAGCAAATTTTGTTTCCGCAACAATGTTTCCATGAGTGGGCAAACAGGGAAACATTTGAGGAAACATCACGAATCACAAATGTTTCCGCAACAATGTTTCCTAGTTTGCCAGGGCTTAACTGTTGCTGCGAAAACTTTCTAGCATCAACAGATGGATCATGTTCTCTTTGTTTCCTCTTTGCGTTGTCGTACTTCCTGAATCTTAATCTCGATTTATTAGAGCCCTGAAAGAGATCATCCCGAGGTCTTTGGTGCAGACAAAGAAGATGAAATATACGAAGATCCACCCGAGTATGCAACCCTTCCAGATGATGTCACCTTCCAAATTACTAACAGCTTTGCAAATATCGCCATGGTGACCACGTTTGCCACCATAATGATACTGTGGTTCAGCTACCATATTCTGGCGATATTCCGCGTTAGCGAAGCTTTGAAAGATTATCACTTCTACGAAATTATCTACAACCGATGCGAGCTTTACATCTCTCTCTACGCTATGGCCAAGCTCGTGCTTTTGCTAAACCCGTTTTGGTGCTTCTATTACAGGAAGGAAATTTACAACATGTGTCGCGTTAGAAGACACGGTATAACCCATGAATAAAGTCCATGTTACACGAGGCAATTTTTGCTACAACTTGCAACGCGAGTTCAGTTACAGAGTCATGTTATCTAAAAAGCAGTCCTATAGCACAGACTAATGTAAGCATGATCCGCATTCCACTCTGCCAACACTATCTTTTCGCAACGTACTCGTGGGATGAAAAAAAGGGTTGAAAAATGCAGGCAGAGTAGACTGTAGGCCATGCTCACAATCGGTCTATCATGATGTCTCTATATGTTAGAAACTGCTCTGTACGCGGTTGCGCAAAGTGCCTCGTGTAACATGGCGTTAAAACTGAACTTAAGTTACGTTTACCAGGAGACAAGATGAATTTGGGTACTAAAATTTGAACGATCTTGTCTTTTTGCGTGATTCACAGAGAATGAAACCGTACCGAAGAATTCGAGAATAGGTATTAAAACGAATTCCTGCGGAGAATAATCCGGGTATAGATTAATTTGGTAAGTGAATTCGTCCGGTGAACGTAATCTTAAGTAAAGTTAGTTGAACCTATAGCTATCCACTGTTATGAGACCAGTTTGATTTTCAATTGGGTCTCCCCAGTCTAGAGGGTCTACCCAGTAACAAAACTATCAAAATGGTTATCATTGCACCTTGAAATATCCCTGGTGTGACTCGTGAATAAAACTGAAGTACAGACTATAGTATGGATATAGACGGCTAGTTAAATGTTTCTCTTTTATCCTATAGTCTATATATAATTGAGCTTAATTAATACAGTTAGAATTATTGCAGATTTAATGCCTTTGCCCTTTGGACAAATGCAAATAAACTTTAGTCTATTAAAAGAATACAGTATCTAATGAGGAAGAAAAATCCACAACAGGTAACAGGAAATATACTGTTGAAACCCTTTTTACAAGGCTCTTGGCATCGTTACTACCGCATTTTCATACATGAAACGGGAAATTGATTTGCGAATGTTTGTATTCTTTTGGGAAACCGATTGAGATTATCGGGAAAACCAAACCATAACCATTTCCCTTGGGAGCAGACATTAAGTGTATCTAGAAATGTGTATTGATTTGATGTTTTTAGAATAACGCCATTATATACTACTTTACCATCCGCACGCCCGGATCTTCGTCACAATAAATGGAATGTTTTTGTTTTCCACGTTAATTTCGTCTGTCTCTACGCATGGTTAATTGGTTCATTAGGCGAAGTTCAAACGCGGCGATTATCATGTGCCGAACGTAAGGTGTTTCAGCTCATTTGCATTAGGTGCGCGGCACATGAAAAACGTTGAAACAATAAAAATGACGGTTGGGATGGTGATTTTTTCAAGCTTTCAAAAATTGACCGTTGACTATATTGTGACCAGGATTAACATTAAGTATTCAAAAATTACAGTTTCTTTTTATCAATTGTGAAGTCCATATCTGTAGTTTTATAGTTTCAGGCATTTTAAAATGTTTGAAAAAATCGCTATATATGCGGTGGATAGTATTAAAAAGAATTAAAATGGAAAAAAACAAAAAAACTACTGTATACATTATTCGGAGTTCACGTCATCTGCTTTTATATTTTACTGACTTAGGGACCGTTCATTATTTATACCTGGGGTTGGTACCGAAGAGAAGCGAAAAACACTGTAATTTTTTTATTTACCCAACTTCAACATTGGTCAAAATAATGTTTACCCAACCCATGTGTTACTGTACTTAATAATTAAACACACAAGATTATATGGTGACAGAAATCAAGTTGCCTAAATTTTAAAAGCTCACTCAGACTCAAACTCACTGAGTGTGCCAATGGAACCACGTTCCTGCTGATCAATAATAGAGTCCTTCCTCAATCACTGATGGTCTACTTTGGTACAGAATGTATTGTGCACATTTTTCTTCATATTTTCCAATGCATGGTAATTTCGGTTTTATTTTATAGCTGACAGACAGCCACAAATTTTTTTACCCAACCCATGAGCTAGTCAAAAACTTGATTACCCAACCCATATCTCTTCGGTACCAACCCCGGGTGTAAATAATGAACGGTCCCTTAGTCTTAGATTAATAGATTGTAAACTTCCTTAATGGATATGACTCTGCTTGCAATGTAAATCGCTAAGTTAAATAATGATGAAATAAAGAAATATATATATATATATATATATATATATATATCCTCGAATATATAGCTGTGTCACTGACTATTATTACAGAGTTTACAGCATCTTTAAAGGTGATCTACAGTCCGATCTGCGCATGTGCACAAAGGAGCCCACTTTTTATGATACAAACAGTTTAACTATGTTTTCGGTTCTTGAAAAGCCTGATTATTGTTTCTTGATCATTTATTATACTCTAGAAGCTTGAAAATATAAATAGTTGTCGAATAAAGCTCAATATTTTGGACACAAAAATGTAAACAAAGGCTTTGTTTACATACGGACTGTAGAGCACCTTTAATAATTCAGGACGAAAATTCAGGACGAGGCTGAACTGCAAACTGCTCAATTTTTTTCTGTCACTTTCATTTGATCTCATCCATGAGTCGGCCTCAACGGCCTTTGTAATCACTAGAAATTGGCGTCACAAAAACTACTGTTGATATAATTGAAATTTGTGACGCGTATTTCACCGTTTAATGGCCTTTAATGCTTCATACATTCCATCGTGAAGTGACACGATTGTATTTTTACGTTTTTCTCATTAAAATACTCAGCTGTATATATTATTGCTAAACTGTGAAATTATTTTGGATTCAAGTGATGTCATAATTTTCAACAAGGTTATTGAGACGCCATCAGTATGCTGAAAAGTGAAACATCATGCATAATAATTTCCTATCCAGTACGTGTTCTAATAAGCCATATATGGTATAACTTAGAAGACGTGATATCCAAATAATTTAAGTGTAAATTAAATTGATTCGACGATTTTTTACGTTTTAACAATTTCATTTTTAGTTTAGCCACGAGACTGATTATATAGGTTCCGCACGTGATAAACATGATGTAATGAATTGTTAGTATAAGAAAAAAACATACCGGAAAAAAACAACGGTATTCCGAAAATGAACACTTTAATATTCTCTACCTTTCGACTATATTTATTCTAATAATATTCGAATATATATATATATATATATATATATATATATATATATATATATATATATATATATATATATATATATATATATATATATATATATATATGACGAAAAATGCTAAAATTGCAGCTAGGATTCATATTTATATATTAAAAGATTAAAAGTTTCTTGTCACTAGCTATGTAAAAAACGTAATCACGTTTAAAAAAGTTTTTACAAGACGTTTCGATCAGAAACCTCCGATCTTCGTCAGTTGATATTAAAAACTAAGAAGCCAATAAACAGGCCTCTATTTATACGGTTCGTTAGCTATTAATTTGGATGCATCAGTGACCCATAAACGTCTGGAATGTCAATATGGTCATTGCCAGAACTTTTGTCCACTTGGGAATACCAAGCCTCAAGGAACAATCGTTTGCGATAATTTTTCTCTCTACTAACTATTTCGGCGTTTTCAAAGTCCATATTATGGTCATATTGCTCAACGTGTTGGGCTATCTTGGAATTCTTATCATTATATTCAACAGCTCTTTTATGTTCTTTTATTCTTGTTTTCAATGCTCGGTTGGTTTGACCATAATAAGTAAAATCACAAGCGGAACATTCAATTTTATAAACGATGTCCCTTATACGGTTGGTGTCTAGTTTATCTTTTGGCTTTGGAAATTCTTGCTGTAATGTGCGAGTTGGTTGGAATGAAACACGAACTTTCTCACGTTGTAATGTTCTTGTAATTCTTTCTGTAACGCCCTTTATATATGGTAGAACAACATAACTAGATGAAACTGTTGATTTTTGCGTTGCATTCACATTTTCGTGCGAACTATTTAATTCCTTGTTTTTGTTTCGCCTCCTGTTATCACAGCTTCTTATGAATTGTAAGGGGTAACCGTTATCTCTTAGGACCTTTAGGACATGTTTTCTCTCTCTACGTTTTCCCCGGTTTGTTGAAGGTATTTTCTCTGCCCTATCGAGTAAAGTATTAACTACAGATCGCTTGTGTTGTGGAGGGTGATTTGACGTGTAATCCAGGTATTTGTCCGTATGCGTCTTTTTACGGTAAACATCAACCCTAATTTGACCATTTTGCCTAATTGTTACAGTATCCAAGAATGGTAATCTATTATTTTCTTCCGCTTCAATGGTGAATTGGATTTGCTTGTCTATTGAATTTAAATGCTGATGAAACTCCTCTACATATTTACGTTTTAGGCAAGTATGGCTATCATCAACAAACCTGAACCACCAACGGGGTGGATTGAGAGCAGTTGTTAAAGCAATTTCTTCTATGTGTTCCATAACGAGATTGGCTATTGTGGCGCCAATCGGAGATCCCATTGCGCAACCAGACGTTTGCTGATAATATTCATTCTTGTATGTAAAATAACTGTTCTTCAATACAAACTCTAAAAGTTTTAAAATGTTAGATACTGACATTTCTGTTCTGGTTGATAATTCTCGATCACTTTCAAGTTTGTCCCTAGTTATCTTTAAAGCTAAGTTGACAGGGATAGACGTAAACAAAGATACGACATCAAATGAGACCATGACTTCATCAGTTGAGATAGACATGTCCTTTATGCGTTTACTAAAGTCAGTGCTATTACGCACATTATATCTCCCTTTAATTAGAGGTGATAAAACAATTACTAAGTGTTTTGAAAGATTGTACGTAGGAAATGAAATAGAGTTGGTAATCGGACGAAGCGGTATGTCTGGCTTATGAATCTTAGGTAAACCATAAAACGTTGCCGGTGATGCGCTTGAACTATGTAAATGGTCATAAAGTTTCTCATTAATCTGTGGTAAATTGTTATCGTTATGCGACCTTTCCGACTTAATATCTCGTAGAAGTTTGTTAAGATCTTGTTCAACTTTGCTGGTAGGGTTTCTACGTCTATCTGTAATTCTTAAGTAAGTCTTTTTATCAAGTAATAAATCAGAAATTTTCCTATCGTAATCATCAGTATTCATTACAACAATCGCTCTCCCTTTGTCAGCTGGAACAATAGTAATATCTTTGTCTTTCTTCAAATTTCTTAAAGCATGACTTTGTTGTTTAGACATGTTTGTTGTCCTTAACGCCTTAGATATACTGAGATATACTGTGCGTAATAGCACTGACTTTAGTAAACGCATAAAGGACATGTCTATCTCAACTGATGAAGTCATGGTCTCATTTGATGTCGTATCTTTGTTTACGTCTATCCCTGTCAACTTAGCTTTAAAGATAACTAGGGACAAACTTGAAAGTGATCGAGAATTATCAACCAGAACAGAAATGTCAGTATCTAACATTTTAAAACTTTTAGAGTTTGTATTGAAGAACAGTTATTTTACATACAAGAATGAATATTATCAGCAAACGTCTGGTTGCGCAATGGGATCTCCGATTAGCGCCACAATAGCCAATCTCGTTATGGAACACATAGAAGAAATTGCTTTAACAACTGCTCTCAATCCACCCCGTTGGTGGTTCAGGTTTGTTGATGATAGCCATACTTGCCTAAAACGTAAATATGTAGAGGAGTTTCATCAGCATTTAAATTCAATAGACAAGCAAATCCAATTCACCATTGAAGCGGAAGAAAATAATAGATTACCATTCTTGGATACTGTAACAATTAGGCAAAATGGTCAAATTAGGGTTGATGTTTACCGTAAAAAGACGCATACGGACAAATACCTGGATTACACGTCAAATCACCCTCCACAACACAAGCGATCTGTAGTTAATACTTTACTCGATAGGGCAGAGAAAATACCCTCAACAAACCGGGGAAAACGTAGAGAGAGAAAACATGTCCTAAAGGTCCTAAGAGATAACGGTTACCCCTTACAATTCATAAGAAGCTGTGATAACAGGAGGCGAAACAAAAACAAGGAATTAAATAGTTCGCACGAAAATGTGAATGCAACGCAAAAATCAACAGTTTCATCTAGTTATGTTGTTCTACCATATATAAAGGGCGTTACAGAAAGAATTACAAGAACATTACAACGTGAAAAAGTTCGTGTTTCATTCCAACCAACTCGCACATTACAGCAAGAATTTCCAAAGCCAAAAGCCTAGACATGCACCAACCGTACAAGGAACATCGTTTATAAAATTGAATGTTCCGCTTGTGATTTTACTTATTATGGTCAAACCAACCGAGCATTGAAAACAAGAATAAAAGAACATAAAAGAGCTGTTGAATATAATGATAAGAATTCCAAGATAGCCCAACACGTTGAGCAATATGACCATAATATGGACTTTGAAAACGCCGAAATAGTTAGTAGAGAGAAAAATTATCGCAAACGATTGTTCCTTGAGGCTTGGTATTCCCAAGTGGACAAAAGTTCTGGCAATGACCATATTGACATTCCAGACGTTTATGGGTCACTGATGCATCCAAATTAATAGCTAACGAACCGTATAAATAGAGGCCTGTTTATTGGCTTCTTAGTTTTTTAATACCAACTGACGAAGATCGGAGGTTTCTGATCGAAACGTCTTGTAAAAACTTTTTTATAAACGTGATTACGTTTTTTACATAGCTAGTGACAAGAAACTTTTAATCTTTTAATATATATATATATATATATATATATATATATATATATATATATATATATATATATATATATATATATATATATATATATATATATATATAATTTTTTAGAAGTTGCAATTATATTATTCGAATGCTATTCTACAATGCTATAAATAATACACCTTTTCGGCAACTGAATCATGAATACTTCCTTGGCATAGGGAGACTTTGCAGACCACAGCTCACTGGAGTTCTATATGTACCCCATAACCTCTATACGTACCCCATAACCTCTATATAAGAACATGGTTATCAACAGCCAAGGTAACCAATATGGTTGTCGGCTGAACAGTACAGCATCTTGCTATCAGGCAAAGTCCTAGCTCGTAATCACCTGGGCCGTAATATCGGACGTCAAAATACGCAAATGATAAAACCGTACTATAGATACATTGTTTCAAAATAATGTTTGTTAACGGCGAATTGTATAATTCATATTTCATTACATAGCTATTTTACTGAAAGGCTATTAGTTTACGAATATATTTTTTATTTAACCGTCTGGTTTTATCTCTGCCATCTTAATGTTAAGCCCTCCTCTTGCAGATGTTTACACAGCGTGTTTTCATTAATCTTAAAGCAATGTTTTTCAATTGCTATATGCTTCAATATCAAACATCATTGCAGGCCGCTTTATGCTAGCTATATTCCTTGCTACATGCAAATGTAGTGGTTTTAAATTGATATTAGCAGGTAGCTGTCAACAATGAGCTGCCGTAGTTCTTTTAAATGCCCCACATGGGCAACACCAGGTAATTAGATAATAACAGAGAACGTAAATTTCACCTGTTCGCGCTGACGACCGCAGGCAAAGTGTCTAAAATTATTTTAAATTGATTCATAAACGCCAGCCTAATGCCTTTTTCACGAGGGTTTTGAAGCAAAACAGGAAACTGATGGAATTCGAAATTTTGTATTTGACCACTTGTAGTTGCCCAAAACATATTTCTTTATCAGCTTTAATCACTTGGGACCACTAATCACCACAATCTAGCAAGTTTTCACCTTTTGACCCCAGACTCTTTTACCCAGCTCCGCTCTTCTGTATCGAATATCGTTTTGGTATTTTCTCATTATGATTTTTGCGTCCCGTTGCGACACTTAAACGTTTATAAAGCTCATCAATTTTGCACCAAACTGCAATTTTTCAAAGGCGAGCGATAGTTTTCAACCAAAAACACGCCAGATGAGTAAAATGTTGCGTCCTGCTCATATCTCTTTCAGCGTGGGCGAGCAGGCTCAAAAATAACTAGTTACATAAAACGCGCACGAGTGATCAAATCAATGCGGCGATATTACCTTAATAGCCTTGCTATATACAGGAGAAATTATCAAAGAATTATAAACAATTGTCAGCTACGTGTGCACATATTGTTCATATTATCTCGTCTTTCAGTCTTATATACAACACGGACACTTGATCCTTAAAGTATCGATCAATAATTGGGTAAACCTGAAAATCCACAGATATACTTAAACTGCAAAATACCGAGACTGGAGTATAGGATAGAAAGGGAATTAAATTTGTGTAACTATTAAAGGATGTTCGCGCGTGTTATTGTATATATGTCGCTTTTAGTTCATTTGACGGGTGCATTCATCTGACATGAATTACCTCATTAAGGTCTTTATTGCAATCAAACATTTAATGTTAATCGAGCGAACGACGTCTTTAACTACTAATGGCGATTTTTTTGTTTTCCTGTTTTCAACGGTGGATTTTAGTTTCCTCATTTCGTTTTCATGTAACATCGTGTTCGAAGCACGCGGCTTCAGTTTCATTTTATCTCACAAAGACCATTAATTGAGCGAATCGTTGTCAGCAACGCGGCAATTGTTGCGCTTTCTTTTTTAATAAAATTGTTGACACTGTCACAATTAATAATGTTTAAATAATTTCCACTACTCCTGTTCACACTAAATGCTTAATACATGTTCTCTGTATGCGGAATTTCGTTAATCGTGTTAAGATATTAGCAGTAAATATAGGCTGGTATGGTTTATGAGTTGTAATAGAAATTATGCAAAGTTATGATTTCGTTAAAAAGATTGTTTACACCAATATGCAATACAACTGGTATGGTACTGCGAGTACTTTCCGTTTCTCGTTAAGCTTCCCCCTAAAAATACCGTGAATGGACATCTGCGTCGAGTTTTCGCCTAGACTTTTTAAATCTGTTTATTTTCGGATGGCCGTGCGGGAAAGACCAGCAATTTAACTCGTATTAGAGGCTCGCCTCTTTAACTGCGAATAGTCACACTGCTGAGTTTGACGACCTGTTAACGACTTGCGGCTATTTTCGAGTAGTTTGTCTAAAATTGACAAGACCATCATGAAATGCATTTAGCGGTGAGATATGCGGTTGCGTACTTGTAATGTTCGTTTGTTGTTATAAATCTTTAATAAAAAGTGCAATCAGCCATAACCGGGTAATATCGTGTAAGTAAACTCGTTTCGTTCGAAGGTTGGGGAAAATAATGTCGGAAAAGCGACCAATCAGATCGAAGATTGGAACGACGCAACCAATAAGCGAATTGAAGGACAATTCACTTGGCATTTGACTGCGAGCATTTGGCTTCCTAATTATCCTTATCATAAGAACAATCGCTTTTATCAGACTATTGATTTACTCAATAGAAATCAAGTCATAAGCAAGTCTCCAGCAATTGAGTGGAGCCACAGCGTGCTATAGTCAACACACTCCACAGTTATAGTTAAGAGGCAACAAATTCTGAGAGCTCGCCAGAAGGTCACGGACCACACTTAGCGAAGAATCGTGTGTGCTCAATTGCTTTTCACTTCAAAAAAATGCTCCGAGGTTATTCAGTTTGTCGAGGGAAGGAAGAATTCCATGGCACATGGCATGCTCATCTTTATTCAAAACCGCCCGAACAACCAACGCCACATTTCATTGAAGACATCTTAGGACTGAGATCCCCAACTGTATACCAAGACACACCAAAGACTGTTGACAAACAGAATCGGGAGGAAATTGCCGAGGTTGATACGTCCTGCATTCGGAAATCAAAGCAAAGAGCTAAATACAAATCACGCGGTATAAAAGGAACTATTACTGAGAAGAATAGAGGTAGGCTGTTCTTTAGTTATGAGCCAGCACAGTTGTAATTATTTTAACAGTAGGTGCGTTTATCAAGGGATAACACAAACCCTAACACCTAACCATCAAATCATCATATTCCACACGCTACTACAGACAATGCCTTTGATATATGAGTCAATTATTATTTTAGTTACGGCTATTAAGAAATTGGCTTGCGTATTTGACACTTCACATTTATAAGTTCAGATACGACTGTCACTAAATTAAAAATAAAAACCCCTTTGTCTACTGATAGGGTTATTACTTACTGATATTACTAAACTTGCATGTGTATGTTATCTAATTTGTCATTTTAGTCAAAGTTATATTAGGAATACGAGGTGGCAAGTTGGCTAGTCACGGTGATTTTTAAGATTGGATTATACAAGTTGCGCCTATAGATCTATTATATTCTAATGCACCGAGCATTGTTTATATCATGATTTGAAATATCAGAGGAAGAGATACTTGCGCTTAACTATACAAGTCCCAAAATTTGCGCTAAACAATTTAAGGTTGTTTTGCGCTAGTATTATATGTATCTAAAGTTAGATCTAATTGCCATTTGGATAAGGCTATTAAGAAATTGCTTTGTGCATTTAACACGCTTCTTTAAATAACTAACCGCAATCATCCTAATGCTGCCTTGCTGATGTTCTGCTGTTTAGTGTGACAGTATAACATTGTATATCTATACTCGAAACAGTGCGACAATGTTAAATAATTTGGGCTATTTACAAAGGCTTAGGTATTTAACACTGTGGGTTTTCGGCCGATCAACATAATTGGGCTCGCGCGGAAGCGGATCTTATAACTATAGTAAAGCAATATATTGGCCTGTTTGTTGCCTCGTATTGAAAAGGCGGAATAGTATGGAAGTATTTACATCTATAGTTTTGGCTTCAGATGTTGTATATATCAAGTGTAGTTGCTAAAGTCTATTAAGAAATTACTTATAGCGCATTCTATAGCGCACTGCTAGTTATATATCTCCGCTTCGCACTTAATAAAAAAATGAGAAACTGCATGTATGCCATGATGCATATATAATATATATATATATATATATATATATATATCGAGTGCTTTGGTTTGATATATAAAATTCCTAAACTATATATACCGCTAAATCACATACATCTTTAGCTTAGTAAAAGTATATTGAGATATTACTTAACGCATTTGGGGCACTGCATGTGTTTATAGACTATAGTTTCTCTGCTAGTTCACACATATTCATTTAGCATATATTGAGCAAACTTCATGCCATGCCAAGTATCGAGTAGGTACTGCATGTCGACTGTTTTCGTTTGCCACGCTAAACTCAGATCCGATCAATGCTTACTGGATGGAAACTCACATAAATATCGTTTGGCTTAATGATACCATTATTAGAAATTGCTTAGCACTTAATACGTCTTACTGATTTTTAATTCTTGCCTCACTTCCTAAGCCTATTAAAGAGCTAAGAAATAGTTTTGTATATTGAATAAACTGTATACCATGCAGCATCAACTGCTTTCGTTTGGTGTATGAAAAGGCCCAAGCTGTGATAAAAATTACATATATATAAAATGATAATTGTTCGGCTTAATGATATACCCATTAGAAAATTGCTCGGCAATTACTGTTTTTTAATTCACTGCCTCCAATTCCGTTGGGTGTACAGGAAAATGCCTAAACTTTTAGTATCAACCTAGTTATAACATCATTTGGTTTAATAAAACCATTAAGGGCTAAGGCAGAAAATGTATGTTGTTGTATAAGAGCTGTGGCTGTTTTTGGTATAGGCAACTCAGACAGTATAACACTTAATGTGTAAAACATCGCAGTTGGATGTTTGGTTTCAACAATTAGTGGTAAAGTGTTAAGTAAACCGACCAAAATATACATACATTAAACTTCAGCAATTAAATCGTTTGTAATATATCTGGTTCTCGCGATGCCTCATATAAGGATACGGACTATTGTGAAGACAGTTGATTAAAATGAAGATAAATATCAAACAAAGCGGTCATTTACTGCGCTTTCATTTTATTTTAAATTGTGCTTTCCTCTTAACACTTTCAATCCTATAGCCTATAGTGGACAGTTGCATGATAAATACAAGAGCAAACACAGGATAAGAATATTGGATTCAATATATTGCGTTGAACTTGCGTTTCTGCTTGCGATTTGCGAATTGTTTCCGCAATTAGAAAGGCTATAGTATATATATAGAACTTAGCCCACGAACATATATTCTAATACCCCAAAAAGGCGTCAGGCTAAGACCTGTTTTGGACGTCGAATTTCTGTCGAATTTCATTTTTTGAATTTAATGCTTCGCAGTTCTATCTGACGGAATTTCCAAGTTAATTTCGGTCAATTATGCGACGAATTAACTAAACCCATCACACACTTTGGACAACGGCACACTAAATGTGATGCGTCGAATTAAAATGTCCATTTATGTCGAATAACAAAAATCAAATAAAAAAATCAGCGGAATAAAATTCGACGAAAGTTCGACGTCTAAAACAGACCTAATCGAGTTAAGGCCTATAATATAGGCCAGGACAAGGTTGACATTAATGCATTATATACATTAATTGGAATTCAGTGTGCCGCGTACATACATATGCATTACTTCTCATGCGAATGCAGAAATTTTAGTACATGTTCGCGCAATGGCCGCCTTCTGGGAAAGGAAAAGTCCATAGAAAACAAGCGAAGCGAAATTGCGGTTATTAAAGTTAAATAGTATTACAAATTCTGCAGAGCAATTAAAGCTGATTAAAGGCTGAAGCCGGAAAGTCTAATTGAATTGGATAGTCACTTTCTAGGGGATAAAGGTTATACAGCCAGATTAGTAACACGGATTTGTTCTTGGACAAATAACTTCAGATTATCTAAGCCTAAGGGAAAAAATGAATAATTCTTGCAGCAAATGTGTATGAGACCACACTTGTTTCCAATTACACTTCTCCGTCTATTTCGTTAGGATTGTTTCAAAGCAGAATACAAACCCTGCGATTTAGTATGGAAATCATCTTACATGCTTGGCGATGTGATTATTATGAAGTTTGAAGGCAGCTCCTTTAGCTTAGCCCAGAAAATTTGGAACAAAACAAAGGGAGCCCAGTCTTGGTCAATTTTTTTTTTAAATTCGGACCAGATCTTTCCATCATTGGCATCAATACAGACATTCTGGTCTAACCGCTCTGGCCATTATTAAATGGAAAGCGCTCTTAAGCCCCGTTTACACTACGCTCAATTTTTGGTACGGCACGGATAAAATTGGTACCCATACCACTTTTTTTGGTTCTTTGACTACCTATTTAGCTGAGCCCCGTTTACACTACGCTCAATTTTTAGTACCGTACCACTTTTTCGTTCTTGGATCCAAGAACCAAAAAAGTGGTACGGGTGCCAATTTTATCCGTGCCGTACCAAAAAATGAGCGTAGTGTAAACGGGGCTTAAAGGTATAATGGTATATCTGTAAAAAATAGTGAAATATTTGTAATATATGTGATCACAACAACTCCATATCACTTGCCTAATATTGGAATGTAGTTTATTGGTCTTGGTTTGGGTCTTGAAAATTGAAACGAGATTCCTGTTTGAAAATTGATAAAAAATTCACGCATTGATTGGGCGTAAATATTATTCCAGGTGATTATATCTGTGCAAAATATTAGCAAAGCATTTTAGCAATTAAAATCGTTAAAGTAAATTAAATATTTGAAAACAGTAACGTGACATGTACTGGTAATTTGTTAAGTGGTCTCGAGGATCCAGGAAGAGAATGCTAAAATCATATGAAATCTTAATAAGCGCATTAAGATTATGAAAACAAAGCAGATGTCTGGCATCTGCAGAGGCAAGTTTAACTTTGCGCACAATTAGAAGGTTTGGAATAAATCGCGTAAACAAACATATTTCTCCTTGCATAACGAAACTGAACTAATACGAACTATAAACAATATGTTAACTCTTTGAACTAACAATATGTTGTACATATTGAATAGTTTTCCAGCCTTCGTACGATAAAGCAGCTATAAAATTAAAGAAATACGACACTTTCAATCAATTGTGAGTTTTTTTATGAGATGCAAACCTTCCGCAGCAAACTGCTAGTTGCTTCCTGCAAGGACTAGGAAATGCATGTACTTAATAGCCTGTTCACAGCAGGGTGCAAGACCGTGCTAATTTTAATTGTACTCCTAACATCTATTCCTAGCCTTGCAGCCAATCTGAGACTTTATCGCGTTTTCCCTGCTATACTTATCGTTTGGAACCTTTTCTTAGCTTATCATCTATATACGTCAAGACTTACAGGGTTTAAAATATAAAGCATGATTTTGGTAGACTTTAAATATAGCACGAATGATACACAATATAACACCGTTTTCATACAGCAAAGACCCGCAGGCCAACACTACATTGTCATTACGGTAAAGTTGACTGAATGAGGTCAAATGCGGTTTCTTCAAAGAATTTATAGCTGAAGGCTGATTTCCAGTTAAGGCCAAGCGATTTTCATACCTGCGTACTAACAGGAAGTTTTAAAAAAGTATATTTGAAAAGTAGCTTCCTCCGCAGGCATCTCTGGGAGTTTAGCCTGCGAATGGGTAGTTCGAAAAAAAAATTCTAGCGGAGGTTTTTCCAATCCACCCGACTCCCTAGAGACGCCTGCGGAGGGGGCTATTTGAAAAGTATTATGATCGTTGTCATCATGGCATGATGTCATCTGGTTTCCACAGCAACATTACTATATGTTATCTTGTTTATTAATATTACAACAAAATGATGATACAATGTGATGCCTTATAAAATTGTATTTATTGAAAAAAATATGATTTTATTGTAGTTTGATATGGCTGTTGGTTTTTAACTGGGTCATACGGTTGCTATAGCAACGGTACGAGATGTAACTGGCATGTGGGTGAAAGCTCTTTGTGTTGAAAAAATGATGTCCAAAAAATGGATAGCCCATTTTGGTTTGCAATTTTTTTGGCTGAAACTCAGAAGTTTAAAGTGTCATAACTTTTGTTTCCATAGATCATTTTGATGAAACAAACACCAAAATATATATAATAGTTTTGTTTGTGGAAACACCACGTAAATTTACTACTGCAAAGCTTTCAAAGCTTTCCGAGCTTTCAAAGCTTTTTTATTTGAAACACCAAAATGTTTCAAATAATGAACTCTATTCAACTAGCCTAATTTTGAAGCCTTCAATAATTAAGATGGCTTTGATATCGGTAATATCCTCAATAGGCCTGTCACGTTTTTACACAGATAAAAACTTAGTTCGTCGGATAAATGTGTGCAAACGCGGCAACATCTCATGTTTCGTGTGCGACTACATTTCTCTTTGATTCTGACCCCAGTACACAATCCTATAGAACTCCTAGGGATGCGAGAGAAACGTGGGATATGTAACCCTGATGCCCCAAATCAAACTAATGGCCCGATTTGTACTAATTTTGATCCTCTTTGAAAAACTCACTCGTTGCATGCTCTTTCCACAAATTACACCATACTATCACCTATACTACAACAAAACTAAAATTGTACGATTAAATATCACAAAAATTAAAGGTCCGTTCAAACCTCGTCTGGCCTCGTTAGAGCGCTATATATAGCACGAATGATAAACAATAAAACACTTTTCATGCCAAAGACCCGCTGGCCAACACTACATTGTCATTACGGTAAAGTTGACTGAATGAGGTCAAATGCGGTTTCTTCAAAGAATTTATAGCTGAAGGCTGATTTCCAGTTAGGGCCAAGCGATTTTCATACGTGCGTACTCACAGGAAGTTTAAAAAAAAGAAGTTTAAAAAAAAGTATATTTGAAAAGTAGCTTCCTCCGCAGGCATCTCTGGGAGTTTAGCCTGCGAATGGGTAGTTCGAAAAAGCGGACCGATTCCCTAGAGATGCCTGCGGAGAAGGCTATTTGAAAAGTGTTGTGACCGTTGTCATCGTTAAAGTGGTATGATATCATTTGGTTTCCATAGCAACACTGTTATCTTGTTTATTGATATTACAACAAAATGATGATACAATGTGATGCCTTATAAAATTGTGTTTATTGAAAAAAATATGATTTTATTGTAGTTTGATAATTATGGTTGTTGGTTTTTAACTGGCGTCATACGGTTGCTATAGCAACGGTAAAGATGTAACTGGCACGTGGGTGAAAGCTCTTTGTCTGAAACTCAGAACTTTAAAGTGTCATAACTTTTGTTTCCATAGATCATTTTGATAAAACAAACACCAAAATGTTTCAAATAATGAACTCTATTCAACTAGCCTAATTTTGAAGCCTTAGATTACACAAAACTATCACCTGTACTACTACAAAACTAAAATTGTATGATTAAATATCACAAAAATTAAAGGTCCGTTCAAACCTCGTTTGAGCACTATATATGTGTTGGGTAATACACTGGAAAAAAATTAGTGAAATTCATACTATGGAATTTGCGATTGAATCACTAAATCCATAGTATATCCATACTATTTCCATACTATATCCATAGTATATCCATACTATTTCCATACTATATCCATAGTATATCCATACTATTTCCATACTATATCCATAGTATATCCATACTATTTCCATGCTATATCCATAGTATATCCATACTATTTCCATACTATATCCATAGTATATCCATACTATTTCCATACTATATCCATAGTATATCCATACTATTTCCATACTATATCCATAGTATATCCATACTATTTCCATACTATATCCATAGTATATCCATACTATTTCCATACTATATCCATAGTATATCCATACTATTTCCATACTATATCCATAGTATATCCATACTATTTCCATACTATATCCATAGTATATCCATACTATTTCCATAGTATATCCATAGTATATCCATACTATTTCCATACTATATCCATAGTATATCCATACTATTTCCATAGTATATCCATAGTATATCCATGCTATTTCCATAGTATATCCATAGTATATCCATACTATTTCCATAGTATATCCATAGTATATCCATACTCTATCCATACTATTTCGATACTAGATCCATAGTATATCCATACTATTTCCATACTATATCCATAGTATATCCATACTATTTCCATAGTATATCCATAGTATATCCATACTATTTCCATACTATATCCATAGTATATCCATACTATTTCCATACTATATCCATAGTATATCCATACTATTTCCATAGTAAATCCATAGTATATCCATACTATTTCCATACTATATCCATAGTATATCCATACTATTTCGATACTATATCCATAGTATATCCATACTATTTCCATACTATATCCATAGTATATCCATACTATATCCATAGTATATCCATACTATTTCCATACTATATCCATAGTATATCCATACTATTTCCATACTATATCCATTGTATATCCATACTATATCCATACTATATCCATAGTATATCCATACTATTTCCATACTATATCCATAGTATGGAAATTACAATCCGAGTATGACAAGTGGTTTTCCATACTATTTTCAACTAAGATCCATACTATTTCCATAGTAAGGATTTAGAAAAATAATTTCCAGTGATAATTTAGCTAACGTTGGATTAGATTTGACTTTATGTCCCAACATGCATTGTGCAACATCGTTCAACAATGTACGTTGGATGATGTTGAGACTCGTTTGGAACGGGAGGGGGGGGGGACTTAAGACCCATTTCCAGTCAGGAAAATTTTCCGCAGAAAGAAAATTTTGTATAATGTTATTGGCCGACCCAAATTATCTGTCGGAGAAAAATTTTGAAGTTGAAAATTTTCAACTTTTAACAATGATATTTTCGGAAACTTTTCTGCCCGTGGAAATTTTTTTTAAGTGGAATTGAGCTTCAAGACCATATTTTCATATCTGTTTAGATAGCACTCGAAGCAAAGCAAAGGCAATACCCAAAACTACAAAAAAGGAGCAAATCACGACAAAGCCAAAAGCAACTCAACCACCGAAAGTGGAAAACCAAGTGGAAGTTAAGAAGAAAAAGAAAGCACGCACGACGTTCACAGGCCGACAAATCTGGGAACTTGAAAACACTTTTAGAGAAAAGAAATATCTTACATCTGCGGAAAGAAATGAGCTGGCCGAATTACTCAATGTTACCGACTGTCAGGTTAAGATTTGGTTCCAGAACAGACGCACTAAATATAAAAAACTCGAAGTAACTCCGACAAATGCCGAAGATGAAAACGGTGAAGAATCACGAAGTAGAGCAAGTTCTCCTGGATCTCCGGTAACATCCGAAGGTTCAACGGCTGATCCCGACGTCTCTCCAGGCAAAATGTCGCCTGAGGATTTTGGCAAAGGACAAAAGATTTCGGTAAAAAACGAGAACAATAATGAGGAAAGTGTGGACGTTAGCATGGAAGTTGATGATAGAGGGGCTTAAGTTTTAATGTAGAGTTATTCACAAGTGTTGATTGTGTTGACGATGCTCTAAGTATCAGTTAATAAACTAACAAGAAATAATATGAAGTTGTCAAAACTTTGTTGTAAATATCTAGACAAAGAATTGCCATTAAAGTAAGAATATAGATATTATGCATATAAAGAGTGAGTTTAACTGGAGTATTGCTTGATTTTTTTAATATGGAAACTTTTTTAAACAGTGTTTTTATTCGTTCGACTTTGCACTATGGCTTTTGTGTCATGAAATTACGCCGTTCTGTAAAAGACAATAAAAGAAAGTGTCTGTAAAAGACAATAAAAGAAAGTGAAATTATGATTCATCAGCTATCTTAAAATCTACAACTCTTCAGACTTCATACAACTGGTTTTGACTCTCCTCCGTAGAAGCTTCAGATCAATTAGTCTTGGGGGCTTTCCACCAGGTTGATGTCTTACATGAAGTTTGCAGAGCGAGTGAGGGAACCGCACTCCCTCACTCCCCCCCCCCAGGGAATTCGTGGATGACAGAATGGTTCAGTGTTTTACAACGTCGTCTCATTAACATATTGAAATTTTCTTACGACTGGTTTACACTATCAAAGTTTCTGTGATCACAGTAGGAATTTTGCATAGGTAAATTCTACGTTTTTAAGGATTTGCAAGTTTATGTTTGAGGGAACTGACTGAGTGCACCAATTCATTTCAAACATTTCTTAGAAATCCTATATACTGTGATCACAGAAACTTTGATAGTGTAAACCAGGCTTTACTCTCTAGCATCATTCTGAGAATGGATCAGTTTGAAAACTATCTGTAGATAGTACGTACTAAACAATTCTCAGTACGTATGTATGCAAATAATAAATAGCTTACCATTGAGCGCCAGCACTCTCTCTGACTTTTACTTGACTTTAATGCGATTCAATGGGTTATAAAAGATGTAATCAAGTTCAGTTGATTAATTTATGATTGCATGTACACTAAATATAAAGATGTTTTTCGGTCATAAGAATAACGTTACATAATCAGCCTTTTTCTCACAATTTGCTCAAATCATATTTGTATAATTCAAAAGTTGTGGGTCTAAGTTTTATTATCATCTAATAATATATCTACAAAATTTCAAGTAACATGTTCTTACAGAGTCTCAACTTTTTTTTTAACTAAATGTTTTTGAAATGTACTCAGGTGAATATGATGTTTGCGGTGTTACTCTGAGTGTGCATCCACACAGAAAAGTTTGCCTGACCACGGTGGGAATCGAACCCGCGACCTTTGGGATATTTTTCAAGCAAACGTTTCAAGATCTGAAATTGGTTCGTCAACATGCAACCTATATGAACATGAGGACAAGTTTTGTAATAATAAAGAATGCATATTTTCTCAAGAATCAACCACAAACATTGATCACATTGTCATTGGTATGACAGTTTGCCAAGCGCAATGGCGCAGAGTGATTTTATGATTGGGGGGCTGGTGATGAGATTACGTTTGCAGCGAATCCTCCCGAGGGGGTCTAGGGAATTGAAGGTGTAACGGGAAAAGGCATGCCACCCTAGAACATTTTGAAAGTTATATACCCAAAAAGTACATTTGGAGCTATTTTCCATTTCGTATAAAGTAGCCATGTGTATTGCCCGATAACAGGCCAGTAGTGTATTTCTCAAAATATATATAATAATAATTTTGACGGTGAGCTAAGTCACATTTAATTAAACAGTAGGCAATTCCAGCTTTTAGTTTATGCCTGCAGGGGATGATGGGAAGTAAGGTATCATATTGCTGATTATGCTGAAAAATTTCAATAAAAACTACCGAAGCAACCGAAAAATGTCAATATTTATAAGTGTAAGCTATCACTCCGTGTTTATATTTTTATTTTTTCAGCATAATCAGCAATGTGATACCTTACTTCCCATCGTCCCCTGCACGCATAAAATAAAAGGTTGAATTGCCTATTGTCATTTCCTGATAATCCCAAAATAATAGAGAAATCTGCAAATATATGGAGTTCTATTTATACCACTATTTAATGCATCAATTATTGCAGTTAAATGCGCATATAATATACGATCTAATGGGAGCAATGGAAGGAAGGAAAAGCGTCGCTCCAGGCTAGTTGAGGGGAATAAAATATGTGAAAAAACGATGCCAAATACCTCAAATTTACTTAAGGATGCCGAAAAACTAATATAACATCTGGAAACATTTTAAGAGTAATAAAGCTGAAAATATTTTCTTAATTGAGTCATTAGCCTTGCTGTTCTGCTCCTTGTTTCAACCAAACGAACAAGAAAATAGGTTATCTTTTCAACCAGAAAAAGGATTTGAAATCCCATCAGCAAAATAGGCTCTCTTTTGACACAAAAATACCTTGAATTGCAAGATATTTTTATTTTTAAATCTATAGTCATTTACAAAGAGGCCGGCGCCGACAATTAATCGCTTAAAAGTTTAACTCACTCCATTATTGCACCAATTATGTTAATGTCCTTAATGAACTTGCAAAATGTAAACATCAACCATTCTTGAACACCTCGGAAGAAGCAGACTGTAAAACCAATCCGAAATAGCCAGATCTATCTGCGTTGATATAAAGTACAAGGATTTTAAACTGCGTCCATATGGAATTATAATTCCATCTACTTAAATGATCTCAGTGTATGTTTTTCCAGGCTATAAAGAAAGAGATTACTACGTCATGTTGCGTGGATGATTGATTTGATTTCGTCCGCAATTATCGTGAGAATATACACATTAGTTTTGAAATTTTAAAATGAATGACCCAGTTTTCAACATTTCCAGCTAGTGTTCTCAGTTGCTATTTAAAGGGACACCTTCACCATCAAAACTAATTTTGCCGTACGTTTATAGTCGGTAATATTTAAATAACATGGATTATGGATTCAATATTTTTTCTTCTCACCATTGAATACTTAGGTGCAACTAGGGGTATGATGCAGTTTCTCTTATTTTCAGGGACGCCCAGAGGGGTGGGGTCAAAGGTGGAAAGTTGCACCTGGCCCTCAGGTAAAGGGGCCCTAAATTAAAACTAAAGAGCAAAACAATATATAAATATTACTGTCAAATAATCTCCCGGAAAGCAGGATTTCGCTATTCCCATGAATTACCTCATTCCCATGAACCTTAGTTTACATAGTAAGACCAAAATATTCCATTTCTATAAAGTGCACACTAATTTCCAAAAACCCACGTATGTATTGACGTGAACATTTTATGGACAGTCTTGACTGTGGTCGTTTCTGGATAGGATGTCAGATGAATTGCAAATTAGTTTTTTTTGGTGCTGAAATGCGTCCAATGACATCATATATCCGGCAACTTCACAGTGAAAAAGTCGATCAAGATGAGTTATTTTAATTACTACATATATCCAATGACCCAAATATTTAATACACACACTACAAATCATATTTGGGGTTAGCGGCACCTTAATGAAACGCGCTCTGACCACAAAAATATATATTTTACGTTTGTATATCTTTCAAATTACTCAATGAAACCAGTCAGGTAGGTCTTACATTCCATTAAAATGTTTATGGGCTGTCCTTCTTGTTTTGCGCAGATGAAAAGTTTGCCTGACCATGGTGGGAATCGAACCCGCGACCTTTGGGATACTAGTCCAATGCTCTAGCTACGAGGACAAGTTGGTTCGAGTTGGTGATATTTCGAGTTGGTGATATCAGTATTACCAACACGAACCGACTTGACCTCGTAGCTCAGTTGGCAGAGCATTGGACTAGTATCCCAAAGGTCGCGGGTTCGATTCCCACCGTGGTCAGGCAAACTTTTTAGCTTGCCCGGTGTGGATACACACTCCGAGTAACACCACAAACATCATATTCACCTGAGTACATAACACCAATACACACAAAAATTTACTCATTTTTTGAGTAAAGCAAATCTTTACTCAAAAAATGAAATAAATTCGCTCATAAATTTGAATAATTTTACTTAATATTTCGAGTGACTGTGGATGCAATAATACTCATATCGTGATTCATATAAATTATATTTATAGGTCACGCGCAGCCTTGACCGGCTGGCCTTGGCAGGTTTGGCCAATTTTGGGCTACCATTTGGTAGGTATGACGTCACGTGCGGAATGAAAGCAAAGTGTGTACGCTTGCGAGAATGTTGATCCCTAACTCGCTTTTAAATCACAAGATACATGTAAAGCCAATCCAACTAAGTAAATACCCTACCCTTCTTCACAGTAGTAAGCGCAATTCAATGGTAAGGGTCCCACGACCCCCCCCCCCCCCCCCCCCCTAATAATGGTCGGCCAGCTTTTCAAAATTTACATTGATTTAAAAAGAAATTAATAAATAATAAATAAATTTACAGAAATAAATTATTACTTAGAACTTATTACATTCATTTCGGTTGGAGAAAAACCTCCGATGCACAGGATAGAACGAACCACATGCACCTCTAGGGCAGAATACCTGCAGTATTCTGTGAGTTTGCAAACCCAAAAATATTTTTAAAAACCCCAACTAGATAGCGCTGTTCACTTGTGCAGAAATCCGGAGTATTAAAACATCTACAAACTTCAAAAAGCACCAGGCAGTTACATTAAGAGGCAATTTTTTTTCAACGTCACCACGTATTTGCAATGAAAAGTGTTCAAAACCTAAAATCTTTTTGGCGTTCCTCTCAAAATTACTTTGTTTTAGTAGCTTTATTCTCTAGTTTATAGAGTTAGCAACCTTTTAATGCATCTGCCGGTTGAGAGCAACCGGCTTTTTAAATGCATCTGCCGGTTGAGAGCAACCTTTTTGAATGCATCTGCCGGTTGAGAAACATAAAATAATAGTTAAAAATTGTCAATTAAAATACAATTATCAATGATGCTATAAAATTAACGCTATATTTACAGCCATATAAGCAAAACGTACTGAACTTCAGACGTCATTTTCTCTTTGGCGTATAACCTAAAATCTCTTCATTTTAGCATTATTTTATAGACAAAACACTAAACATATTTTTTAAGTTTGTTTGCCGATTGAGAAACGTATCGAAAAACAAAAATTTTGAATTTAGTCATAACCTCAATTGGTGTCTCAAAAAAACATGCAATAGTTGTGTTCCAGATGTTTACACACTGAGCTAATTAATAGGAAGGCTTCAGATTTGACTTCCATTGCCGCTACCATTGAGGGATCATTAGCCAATCAGACGCGTTTGATACATCCGATTAACCAATCAGATGCGTACTAAGCCAATGAGAGGTAGCGGTAGTGGAAGTCAAATCTGAACCTCTCTATTAGTGGCAGTGGCATCGAAAATTAAATCTAAGAGATGATTTTTGACATCAATAAGATTATTAATTTGTCTAAAGCAAGGGTCATCAAACCTATTGATACTTACATGCAGATCATATTCAGCAAATTTTCTCCCAGTACAGCAGGCTCGCATTTTCCAGCGGACTTGCGGTGAAACATTTTGCATTTTTCACAGAACTGGCCATTTTGTGTAAGATGTCCGCTGACAATACGAGCACGCACGAGTGGGAGAAATTTCGCTAAATTTGACCAACGTATTACTGCTATCAAAATTCATCTCTCAGATTGAATTTTCGATGTCTACTGATACTTAGCCATATAAAAATAAGAAAACAGAGTTATCAGTTGGTCATTTAGAAATGGCTGACTTTAGTTTACACAGACCCGAGTAGACAGTCAGTTCAAGTAGTTCAAATTTCCATCATCTATCTATCTCAGGTATTATAATAGCTCACGCGTGACGCGTGGACACCACGCGCTAAAACAATATGGCGTCCGTGAGCTGTTGTTTGTAATTTCGCACAAAAGATTTATTGATTTAACTAAAGATTCTCAAGAAGTATGTTAACTTCAACGATCCAAAGGATACAGGCTCAAATATTTTAAATTTTGGGTAATATTTTGAGTAATATTTACAAATAATTGCTTATTTCAGCTTCCCATCATGCATAGCGGAAACACTCTTTTATGGCATAACTATGAAATGAGGGATCACGAATTTCAAAATACAATTTTTTAAATTTTGCGAGCAAAGGACTCAAGCTTTATGTCCAAGATTGTAGAGATCTCAATATAAGTAGTTTACCACACTAATTTCCAAAAACCCACGTATGTAATGACGTGGAAATTTTATGGACAGTCTTGACTGTGGACGTTTCTGGATAAGATGTCAGATGAATTGCAAATTAGTTTGGCCGGGTTTTTTTGGTGCTGAAATACATCTAATGACATCATACATCCAGCAACTTCACAGTGAAAAAGTCGATCAAGATGAGGTATTTTACTACAAAGATCCAATAACCCAAATATTACACACACTACATGAATCATATTTGGGGTTAGTAGTGGCACCTTAATGAAACGTGCTCTGACCACAAAAATATATATTTTACGTTTGTATACTGCAGTATAATCCTATCATTTATAAACAACTTTCAAATTACTCAATGAAACCAGTCAGGTAGGTCTTACATTCCATTAAAATGTTCTATCAACGAACTAATAGCGGTCCTCTTTTTTTTAAGCACCCATCAAAATGTATAAGTACTTTGTTAAAAGAAGTCATCAACGTCTATGGCCGGTTTTACACAAGTGAATTTTGAATGTATTCTATTGCCTTATGAGCGATGAAATGCTGACAATACCAAGACTTTCACAAGGTCCTTCGTCCTTGCAACGAAGGAATTTTCGAGTAAGGAATTTACGGAAGAGTGAGGAATTCGGGTCGCTCAACCACAGCTATATACCAGAGGACCTAACCAAAACTGCGCCTGCGTTCATTTGGAAAGCTGAGGAAGAGAGTGAATGTGCAAAGGTAATTCCACTGAGCTCTATATATATATATATATATATATATATATATATATATATATATATATATATATATATATATATATATATATATATATATATATATATATATATATATATATATATATATATATATATATATATATATATATATATATATATATATGGAGCAAGAGCTTCAGTCATTCGGCGTATGAGAAAGTGAAACCAAGATGGCGGAAATTGATTTAATATTGAAACTGAAACAGTTTGAATGGACCATTCCCCAATTAACCAAAATTTTGAATTCAACAAGTCTAGGCAAAAATTTCATCACAGCTTGAAAGAGCATCACAAAATTAGTAATATTCCAAAGTTTCGTTGCAAAATGTTGTAAAATGCGGATAATATAGCCTTGCGAAGTTTGCAATTTTCAGTCATTTTAGATTACAAACGGGAAATGGTTACCACTTCTTTGCGTAATACAAAATGACTGAAAATTACAAACTTCGCAAGGCTATATTATCCACATTTTACAACATTTTGCAACGAAACTTTGGAATATTACTAATTTTGTGATGCGGCTTTCAAGCTGTGATGAAATTTTTTTTAGGCTTGTTAAGATCAAAATTTTGGAAAAGTGGTAACCATTTCCCGTTTGTAATCTAAAATGACTGAAAATTTCGCAAGGCTATATTATCCGCATTTTCTGAACATTTCGCAACGAAACTTTGGAATATTACTAATTTCGTGATGCTCTTTCATGCTATGATGGAATTTTGTCTAGACTTGTTGAGATCAAAATTTTGGTTAATTGGGGAATGGTCCATTGAAACGGTTTCTAACGTAGCTACCGTATCGCTAACCAAGTTATGAGTTCATAAAACCATAGTAATATTCTTTAAATCGAGGTCAAAATACGAAATTTCGGCGCACTCCTTGCCAACTTCGTGTTAACTGCGCAGACAAAAACAACAGAAAGGGAGTGAACTGACGTCCAGTAAAACTCCATCTTTGCCTCACATTTTAGACTCGAGTTCGCACTCCAGATATATACAAAGCTCACTGGATAATTCATACGTTTACGTCTGGATATACCGCAAATCAGTTATTAAACCCGAGGGGCTTATTATTTCATGCACGTTTGTGGGGGCTTGTTGGAGGGGCGAATCCGAGGATGCGTCACAGAAACCTAGTATACGAGAAACGGGAAAAAATTTACATGAACATCACGTCCATTTAATCAGTACACAATTATTGTGTTTCTTTGTTGTGAAGGGGAGGGGAAGGCCTTTAAAGAAGGGGGAAACATATTGTAGGTGGAAGTGGCTTTACAGAAGGGATCTTTGGTACCGGCTCCTCTAAATAAAGTGCTCGTTTTTTATCATGTGATAAGAGGGTCTGGAATTGAATTATTATCTGATACGGATCTAAATTAAGCAAACAATTCACTAGTCTATCTCCATGGCAGAGTATGCGGCAGAGTTTAAAAAATATATTTTCCCATTATCTTAACCACAGCCTAACCCATCATGTCAACTTTTTCTGCAATGTGTGCAAGTAAATCACAGGCTTAGCAAATAATCATTTCATTCATTACCACGTTCCGGAGTACCGAAAAAGTACTGAAGATGAAGAAGGATTTTGTAGATGGAAATTCTGAGTGTAAATTTTTATACATTTACTTGCAGCCCTTCGATTCCAATGCGCTCTAAGTAACTGAGATTCCAATTTTTGCTCTAAGTAACAATTTTTGCTCTAAGTAATTTTTGCTCTAAGTAACTTGCAGCCCTTCGATTCCAATGCGCTCTAAGTAACTGAGCAAAACAGAGTCGAGTTGTCGACCTTTAACCGCAAGTTCATGGAGGCGATGATGATGACTGAAGATGGAGTTGTACTCCGAAACGTTGTAATAATAAAATATTATTTGCTAAGCCTGTGGTCTGATTTGCTTACATATACTAAAATGCAAAAATGCAGTGTA